TATACATACATACATACATACATACATACTAGCAGTTGAGACTTCGTGGCTGGAACTCCAGCTGATTCTGAGGTAGAAGTGTCAGCCATTTTGGGTGTGTGTTTGAATACGGGGACCTCCAATCAATGGAATAGTAGACGGGTCGATGTTTCCCTTCTTCCAGAGGGTCGGAACGCCTGGGACAAACCCGTCCGCGCGCGGGGTGCCGAGCGTTTTTTGGGTTTCTGCTTGAGGACGGTGAGTTCATGTGAGTTCTCTTCTAGACCATTGGAGGACATACCTAGCGCTTCCTGTTTGGGTGTCCTGTCTGGTGACCTATAAGCAGTGTAGGGTTGTCCATTGGTAACCCCTTCGAAGCAATTGACTGGTGGCTGTGGCGTGGCGAGTGGATTGTCAACTTGACTATGTCTGAGACAGCCCAGTTCCAGGACGACTCAAGAACGCCCGTGAACCCAGAAAGAGTGCTCCGTTGCTTCGGGGTGACTTCACCAGGTCAACCGGAATATTCATAACCAGGCCCTAGGGATCCAGTCGTACTGAACCTCAGCAGGTGAGGACGGAGACACCGCTATGTAGGTTTTGGGGGGCTCCAAGTACCTTCTGAGAAGGTGGCTGTGGTCTGGAAGCCTCTAGGTAGTGTGGGGTAGTCCAGCCAGGACACCCCGAGGGTCGGAGGGTCCAGGTAGGGAGGTATTTCTTCGGCAAAGGAATCGTTCAAGTCCGGGATCCACTGTTTCGGCCTGGGCCTCCGACGGCCCGTTCCGGCACGGGGTGAACCCGCCCGTTTTTGCCTTCCACAAAAGCCCGGCCTATAGAAGTCATCTGAAAAGCCATGCCACCAAAGGAAAGCGCCCAAGGGAGTCAAGTACCTTCCATCTCATCCAGAAAATGGGAGAACGGACGCAAAACAAAAACTCTTCCCAGGCGACCTGCGCGGTTCGTGACCATCCTTGAGATGCCGATGACTGGTCAGGGCCTGGTAGTGTCACTGGTCAAGACTCCAGTTCAAGGTCACGTTGGGTGAAGGCAGACAGATCGCCATCGTCGAAGAAACACATCACCGAAGTGCTAGGATTGTACTTTTGTGGAACCGTATATGTACAGTACTATAGGTTTTCATATGCCAGGGTGTCTGGGATTAATCCGGTCTGAGGTGCGGCATCTGAAAGCACCGTCTAGGCCCATTCGGCTTCTTTCACGTCATGGGGGAGAGGTTGATTCGATAGCGGTATACCGCACATCGATATCGGATTTGGCAACGTTGATTTCAACGTGCATGCGTCACAAAAACCAGTCCGGGTGGACTGTAAGAAGCGCTTCTTAGAAGGTGGACTGTACGGGTGCCCGGATGTTCTGAAGTGGATGAGGTACTGAACTGGATCAAATCCTCCATCCAATCTTGGGGAAGGGCTAGGGACGAGTTGAAAGTTACCTGGCTTCACCATCCTTTATGACATAGTCTTGTCACTCTTCACTTTCCCTGCGGCTCCGAGTAGCTTCTGAGAAGTTTGGAGGGTTCAAATTACCATACCGATGTACTTCAAGCCCTATAGGGGTTGTTTTTGTTTGGATTCGGTTGTAAAAGAAGTAACAAAAACAGAAACTGTGTTCCCATGAAGGCCTTCATGGTAGAGAGTTACTTGCTCCATAGAATCACAAAACACTTGCTATAGGCGTTTTCAGATACCTCTTCGGTGTTTTCGGTGTTTTTATTGTATTGCAATTCCCGTGCATTCCCGTGCATTGAGTCATGCTTACGTAGATGGAAAACGGCCCCAGAAGGATGCCCATTTTCGTCTTCCGAAGACGAGGTCTCAGGTGGTGCCATCCGCTTAAGTGGAAAGTGATTCGGCGTGTATAGTTCATGTTTATTTGTTGCATTTGTTCACATGACATGAAAAGCATTCTGCCTCATGTTACAGGTGTGGCAAACCAAATGGAGGCACCTGCCCAGAAGCTGCAGGTAGCCATAGAGATACCAGATCTAATCTTGACACAACATATCTGCAAAGCACTTGTGAAGGGACACTCTTCGCCTCAAATCTCGCAAGGGCTTGGCCATATCGTGAGGTGGAATCCCTCAACAAACAGAATGATCACACTGCAGAATTTTCTGTATCCATCGAATCTGAAACCAAGCGACGCACTCAACCGTCCCAGTGAAAATGTCTCATGCAGACGACAACGCGACGACGACAACATGCCAAGAACACGGTCATTGTCATATTGCTTCGCTTTATTCGAAGGGAACTGTGCTTAATCTGAAAGGTTCAATCTTTCTCCCCCTATTTAGCTCTAGTGCCAGATCTTTCAGTCAGTGCTATGTGTGCTACGCTGGCGCATTGAATCATCCGGATACTAGCTCTCATCTTCTGTGCCTATATTTGATGTTGTCTTCATGTTCACCACATCCAAATCAAAAATCCAACCCTCCAAGCAACCTTCAGGTCACCACCTGCAACTGATTAAAGTCTGCAAAAGTCTAAATTTTGGGGAGCTGTCTGTTGAAGTGGAACTTGCCAAGTTCATGTGATGTTTTCAATATGAACATTACTCTCCAGGTTGGGTGTTCCCTTTTCATTCCTTTGTCAAGTCTCTCAGTTCTTCTATCACCCTCTCAGTTCTTTCATGTATCTCTCCGGACCTGACATCAAGAACTCCCTGCGAACATGGCACCATGACCCTACCATGACCCTACCATCGGTGCAAACGTATACGTCCGGCCCAGGGACGGAACACCACCTACACCGGCTCTTCCATGAAGACGGCCTGTGCCTACCGATGGCCGCTTCGTCCATGTCCACCGGTCTTCCCCGAACTCCGGCCGGACCGGTTCCCGGTCGAACCGTCTCCCCGAACCGAACCGGCTACCGGTTCGCCTGAAGGTATCCTCCGGCTCCTTCACGAGCTCTAAGAATCGGTCTACCTCGATCTCCAGTTCCTCCGGCCGAACCGAGGAAGGCGAGGTCACCGCGCCGTGGAAGGACGGGTCGAGGGTCTCGACGGGTCTCGACGGACGGACGGTTAGGTCACCTGAGCCACGGAAGGAAAAGACGTGGAACCTGAGCCAGGTGGTCAAGTTCCATCATACCCAGACACGACGGGTCTGGGACTGCCATAGGACTGCCGATCAGTTGGGGTGTTTTTTTTGGGGGGTTCAATGTCGGCATATATTCCATGCATGGAGTGTATGGGATATGCGTTGTAGATTTACATCCTGTCAAGCAACATCCGGGGTCATCAGTGGTCTTGCAGAAAACAAGTAGCGAGGACTCTGCAGCTGACTCTGCCAGGAGCTACTAGTAGCTATTTGCTCCTAGTTGCCCTTTGCTCCTAGTAGTATAATGCCAGGAGCTACTAGTAGCGTCCTTGCTCCTAGTAGCGATGCCATTTGTTACTAGTAGCTTCTTGCGAGGGGCGTCTTTGAAATACCCATATATAATCCTTCCAATCTTCTCGCCATGCATGTCCACCTGCATATACCTTGTTGTCACCTACTAGGATGGACCCAAGGCATGACAAAAGTGGACCACCTGGAACCCGGTCCAGTCTGTCCTGTCCCCATCGGGAGCGTATCGGAAAGTCATCTGAGTTACCGAAACTGAACATTGGTTTGATGGTGTCCAACATGTTTTCAATATGTCCGCTCTCCAGAAGTTTGAGGCTTCCATGATCTTCCATCTGGGTGCCCGAGATCTTCCAATGGCCCTTTGCTGTCATGGGACTTCCATCAAAAGTAGGCCGCAGGAAGCAAGTGAAAGCCGAACCATCTACCCAAGAAGTGGCATAAAATACGTATTGGTCACTTTGTCCAAGTACTAAACTGCCCTTGATGAATATTTCCCACACAACTTATCTGCTCTTAACAGGTGCTAGGGTTGGAACCGTCTGAAGAAAGCGATTGTGAACTAAGTCCATAAAATCTGACCTGACGGGACTTGTGCTACCACTTCGACCACCAAAGATGCTGAATCACTCTCTGAACAAATTCATTGCTAGGTAGATGGCATCTCCAAAAGGATTACCAAATAACAAACAGGTGGTGCCATCCACTTCCATGCAACGTGACTCGGAGTGTACTGTATTGTTTTATATTGTGTTATATGTTCACTTGACATTAATGATATAAGCAGTATCTGCCTCTACAAACAGGGGATGGTCCACTTCCATAATTCTTCCAGGAAGTGTATACTTATATCTACCAGGTTGGAGGCCCTTGCTACTAGGGTGGAGGCCATTCTTCCAGGGAGTGTGTACCACTGTGCCGTCCAGTTCGTCGGCTCCTCTCCAAAGACACCTCGTTCAGAGTGCACGTTATCCCAATATCCTCAGCGTATCCAGGCTCACAGTATGATACCACGTGGTAAGGTCCGGCTTTTCTTACACAAATAACCTATTTATAATATACTATTGTTATATGTTTGCTTTTATTGATGTTTTTTTTAATAGAGATGAACAAATACTAACAGTTTGTAGGCTCCTGGATGAGTTATCGTTTTTTCATACTAAGATTGTTATTTTTTCATGTGCTATGTTTTCTTATATCTTGTGTCCCTATAGGCCTATAGGTATATATTCCAACACAAACACGTACCACGGGAACGGTTGACCCCAGAAAAAACCAAGGGGCCATAAGGCCAAGGCCATAAAGGGTAGTCGGATTCTGCCTGGATGGTGCTTGATGGTGCATTCTTTGTCCAGTAAAGTAAAGCCCTTTGAAGTTGAGTGCGTCAAAAAGGGGTTGGTGCATCTTTTGTTTCCAAGCCTTTCGTCAAAAGATGTCAGAGTCAAAAGGAGTTCAGTGAGTCAGCTACCAAGCCATCTTCTCCTTCAGCCCAGAACAAGAATTGCAAATCCCATGAACCTTGGTTCACACCTGGACCCGACTAACCAAGTACCTTAGAAGCCTGGGACATGACCCCATCAAAACAAGGTACGACTGTACCCATTTTCCAAGGTACGAATGGGTCGACTCAAGGCAGGAACGCTGCAAAGACTGGTCAATCTTTACGAGGCTTTGTTAGGCTTTGTGCAGGGAGGGAGGCCCCTAGGCGATGGCCGGCGCTGGCGGTTCCTCGACCATGCCTCGACGTCCATGCGACGACCCGGTTCGGTGAAACAAGGACCGCCAAGGCGCTGCCATTGAAGGCTCCCGAGGTATTGAGTGCCGTGTCGTGCAAAGGGTAATCAAAGTAGGTGGTGAAGTTGATGTACTTGTAGTAGTGAACCTTGGGATTCATAGGGCGATGGATTTCTTGAAAGATTCTCTTGTGTTGGGTGTAAGTGTTGTTTCTCAGAGTTGGATGGATAGATGGATGATCTTCACTGCGTTCAAACAAACTCGTGTATAGAACTGTTTTGCTATCTGCATGCTGCCACCCATGGTATAACATTGTGTTCCTGGTGGTTTGCCACTGTGATTTAGGAAAGTATCCGGGCTTTAAGTCTTTCTAGATTCTAGACAGTGAAACAGTAACAGGATACCCCCACCATTCTCTCGAAAACATTGTGGGTAACATTCCCAGCCTTCCGTTCAACCATTTTTAAACATGGTCAACCTGGTTTAGTGCAAACATCCTTAGTAGAAAATGTTGTTGTTTGGGATTCAAGTTATTAAAATGATTCTGGTTGGAATCCTTTGGACCTGGTATAATTAAGTATGGTTCCATCGCTCAAAAGGCCAGCAAGAAAGAACCATGAAGGTCCTAGTTCCACGTGCATCCTTTCTGCAAGGAATCCGCACACGATGTGGGAGAAACTCTGCTACTTGGAAAGTGGGTCCATCTAAAGTATTCCAAACGCTCCATGGCGGCGCACATATGGCATACATTCACAATCAAAAGAAACATGTAGGCCATAGTTGCATGGAAGGAGTGTTTGGGTATGAAGTTCTTGCTCTGCTATCAGAGACTATCATCTCGCAGCTGGATTAGCTGGTGTTTGTGTGCAACGGGGCACTCTTTTGCAGGTGTTCACTGGTGCTTTGCATCCAATTCCTCACGTTCTTACAATCTTCTGTGGGTTGGGATAGATCTGTCCCTGGTCCTAGATTACTTTGTCCTTCAGCATCTTTGACAAAAGGGTCGGATAGTGGGTCGGATATCCAAGTGGGCGAAACATGGTGTTGGTCCCTCCAACAATCAAACCTAACTGACCTTGGCCCACTGAAATCCCGGTCACATCTCGTTTCAACGTCCCAGCCGTTCTTCCCGAATGCGTAGCAAAGGGTTCACGTTTAGGTTGGAGGCCATCGCTATTAGGATGGTAGAGGCCTGGACCAGGACCTGCGTTCGCCCAGCATGGTTTTGTATCTCTTGTTGCGTCAGGGCCGCGCCGGGTCGAAAATTCCTGCCGTTTGGAGGAGTTCTTGGATGGAGGGGGAAGGGTCCGATTCGTGCAAAATAGCATGCAAACATAGCTACTCAAGTGTGCAGCCTGATTTCCTGCACCTGCAGCGTTTGGTGATTTCAGGACATTTGGTCACGGTGCCATTGAGATTGGCGTGGTCGTTTGGCGGTCGTTTGGAGAAGCCTTCTCGCCGGGATTTGCAGGGCTTGGCCTTGAAACGGTTTTGGAGGTCAATTTGCTCAGAAAGTGAGGAACTCGAACTGTGTGGTGTGACGCACAGTTCGCCACATGAAGATGTGCAGCAACTTTTCGTGGCAGGCGCGGTCCTTTGTGCGTGTTGGGGGTGTGGAAGTTGAGTTTTCCTGGCAGGCGCAGGGAAGCGTGAGGTTGTGAGCTTTGGTGGAGGTGAATGGCACTGTGCCATTGGGATTGCCGTGTTAGCGGAGCTGGGATTGCGAAACTGCTTGGGATTGGGTGACATCATGCGTTCATTCACCTTTCGGAAGAAACCCAATGCGCGTTTTGGAGACTTGACTTTCTTTGGTGGGAAATTCGCCTGTGGCTGCAGCCATCTCTGAACGACCACGTCTTGCACTCTCATGCAGCTGCCAGGGACAGCGCGACTGTTTCAACTCCCAAAAGTTTTTTTCGACATGGAAGCTGGTGTCCACTCCTGCTTTGCTCCCAGAGAAGTACCTGAAAAGCTTTGAAGAGGCGCCCATCCACCCGACTGGTTTTGTGACAGGCCTTGTTCCGAGACACACACCCTCCAATAGGTCATGTTTTGATGCTGTCACTGCAGGCCTGCGTTTTAGTAGTACGCATGACTTATATACAGTACACGGTCTCTACACTCTCTCTCTCTCTCTCTCTTTTCTTGAGTTTTTTCAGTTTTCGGAGCAGATCGATTTCGTTTGCACATCAGCACTGACATGCTTACTCGCAGAAACCACTGATGCACACCAAGAACTACACCTTTCCCCTATCCGTCATACGCTCTAAGGTCTGATATCGACCGCGCGCTTTTCCCCGTTGACGTACTACCTCTCCGGCAGCGGCTCGCCTACCTCCTCTGTGCTTAGGCACCGCTGCTGCGCATACACGACCCGCAAAGTCCGTTCTCAGGTTCCTTTCACATGCCCAGGGCATCCAGGCAGGTGGGAGTCCCAGGTTCCAGTTCGACTAAAACCACAGACCGAACGAGGGCCCCTGGTTCCTTACTACTCGTGGTTTGCCTGGGATCCACTGGATAGGACTTGGGAGGTTCAGGTTTTGTTTCCCAGATCCAGTGGCGTTGTTAAAAATGAAGCCGATGTCGATGGGCAAGTCGCCTGGCGCTTGACTTGCGTGCTGCGGTGTGTTGGTGGACCCAAGGACGATGAAGTCGGGAAACCACTCCGACACTCCATGGGGTCATTGGATGGCATGGCCACTGGAATGACCATGAAATCCTCTACAAACAGGAGGTGTTCCACTTCCATGTGATGTGTTCGTCAGAGGGTAATCATCCAGGACCTTCAGTTCGTGACCTCTTTGGAGTCTCTAAGTGAGCCTTTACTGGCCTAAGTGACCTCATCCTGGGATATCAAAAGGTCACTTTGAAGGTCCGGGATGATTTTATTGTATTAATACTTGATTTTGCTTACTATGTGGAAGGATCCAACATTCCCACAGGCATTTACTTCAGGTGTCCTCCAAAATATCTGGTTGCCTTCGATGAGTTGGAAAGCTCAAGTCTGTGTGTTTTTTGTGCAGTGACTTCCGGGCAAAAAGCATCAAAAAGCGATTAAACCTGGTGAGAGGACTTCGGAGCCGCGTGCGCAAGCTAAGCTGATGCCATCCACCTGGGTGGCCATCCACCCGCTGGATGACGAAATCCGTCAGACCAAAGGATGGTCATTCCCTCACCGAAGGATTCAAACCGGAAGGAACCCCGGCGCCTGACCCTGTATGATAGGACGTTTGACCATATATATGATAGGGGTGGTTGATCCAAAAGAGGTCACTCGGGTTCTAGGAAAAGGGACAACTATAAGAATGACATAACAAATACTCAGGAGTTCCAAAGCAGTGCTGGATGCGAAACAAACATGTGACGCACATGATCTACACACAGGATGGGTCTACAAGCCGCATACAAAGCAACTTCAGACCTTTCCAGTATGGCATCAAAGGTTGAAGCAGTTATCACTTTCTCAGGATTCCAGGATTGCTATGGATGGTCTGCTGACTCCCGTGCCGTTTCACTGGAGCATAAAGGTGCACCAAACTTTCCATCTGGTTTTGAGCAGGGTGTCCCCAATCCCCCAAAAGGCCTGGGCAGGTGATTCAGCTTCACTTTCCGCCCTCCAATAAGCAGCTTCAGACCCTTCCCTCGCCGTCCTCCAATGCCTCGTGTCCCTGTTCGCCTCCATCCACAGGCTCCACCCAAGTTTTGGAGTGACCACCGATGTCGTCAGTGCCCTCAAGTAGGGTCACCTGCCGTGGAACACGACACGTGTTCCGGCACGTTGGTGTTTCCTGAAACATATATGAGTCAGAGGCCAACCATCTCCAAGTGGTTGGCTTGAACATTAACATCTCCGAAACCACCACCTATCTATACCTGCAGTCACGTTCGATAGTATGCGGGGATGCGATCCATAGAGCTAGTGGTTGGGTGGCCCTTGTCACATCACATCCACGGCCCCGGAAGATGGGACTAGACACCACCCAACTCCATGTGACTCCTAGGTAGGTTCTCTTTTCTTTTTCTGTCGAAACTGGATGGGTCGAACCTTCGGGTCGACACTCGCGGCGCAGGGCTTGGACGCGCCTGGTCGCGCGCGCGCGCGGAGCGACGAGATGGGTCGAAGGTCGTGGTTCCAGGTCCAAAAACATCGCCGAAAAGACCAAGACAGACCCGGTTCACACCCCAAATCACGGAACTGGAACGTCTTGAAACTGGAACTGTGTCCCATCCGAAGGAGTGATTTACCATGCACCGAAGCCTGCTCATCAAATCACCGAACTGGAGCCACTGGTTGGTTCGGTCATGTTGGAGGCACTCCAAAAAGGCCACGGCGTCCCAAAACTCAAAAAAAGGTTCACGAACTGAAGAAGCTGGTGCAGGTGCCCTGAGCATCGGTTATTGATTCTAATCAATAAGCTCAAAATAATTGATTTTGTAGTCTTCCAAATCAATTATTTTAATTGATTTGGAAGACTACATTTTCAATAGAAAAAAACATTGAAAATCAATATATTTTTTGCTTTTCTATTGATTTTATCAATAACAAAATCAATAACAAAATCAATTAAACAATCAATGATTTATGTCCTTTTTCATGCAATGTCTTCAAGATATGCAAGTGAAACTGATCTTTGTATTTTGTTTGTCAAAGTGCTCCACCCTTTTGCCAAGGGGTTGACACCTTTTGCCAAGGTGTTCCAACCTTTTGCCAAGGTGTTCACACCTTTTGTCAAGGTGTCCACACACCTTTTGTCAAGGTGTTCACACCTTTTGTCAAGGTGTCCACACACCTTTTGTCAAGGTGTCCACACACCTTTTGCCAAGGTGTTCACACCTTTTCACACCTTTTGCCAAGGTGTTCATACCTTTTGTCAAGGTGTTCACATGAAGGTGCCCACACCTTTTGCCAAGGTGTTCAACCTTTTGACAAGGTTTCCACACCTAAGGGTCACAGTCATCCTCTGGCTGATTGCCAAAGCCAGGCCTGGTGAGCTGCAGGTGCAGAAGTACCAAGTACTTCTGCAAGAGTTTTGTGCAAACTCTTGTAGCTTTGTTTCCAAAGCTCACACTGTGGCCAATGACAGACATCTGTCCCACAAAGGATTCTGCTCTATAGTTGGCATGCAGCCTGATGTTCATCCATTTGCTGTTCTGAACCAAATGGAGCATGGAGTGGAACTTGAAGGTGATGTGAAAGAGCTTCCTTCCTTCTCCTGCTGCCCAGCAGTTCAACCTACTGTATAGGTTGAAAAAGCTTGTGGAAAGCTCCTGTGCTGCTGCAAACTCTGCAGCAGTGAGAAAAGCACCACAGCCATCGAAGTGCTGCACCAACTGGTTGAAGGCTTTGCAGCACTGCACCATGCTTTGGTGGATGTCAACTCCAAGATCCAGGCAATCTGCCAAAATCTGCTCCAACACTGGCAGAAACCATTTGCATTCTGCAGCCTTGCATTCCAAGACTGGGAAGGCCTTGAAAGGAGACTGAGTGTCTGTGATCATCGACAGTCTGAGGTTGGTCAGTCTGTTGGAAATTCTTCTTTCAGAATGGATGTCCTTCACTTTGGCAAATATCACTTGGATCCTCTTGGAGGCTGAGACTTTCTGCCTGTTAGGCCAATCATAGAAGGCCATGTAATGTAGCAGGCTGCCTGCCAGGTGCGACCCAACACCCTTGCAATACAATATGTGCAGGGCATCACCCCTGATCATAGCTGTTGAAACACCAGTGATTCCAAAGAGTGCATGATTGCTCCTTTTGGCAAGGAGTGCCTCTGCTGGGCTTACATATTTGTAGTCTTGCTCTGATGCTTTCAATAGCTTCACTGACTTGCCAGCAGGGCATGGCACTTTTCTGAACACTGGTCGCTGGCAGTCGCACTGCCAGCAAGGATACTGGGAGGCCCAGTGTCCAACCTTGAGCACATTTGAGTAAAACTCAGCATCACCTTGTATTGACCACAGTGCTGCCCTGTGGTGCCCTTTTGTCAAGGGCTTGCCAGCCAAGGATGCCAACTCCCCTTTGGGCAAGGGGTTACCCCAAGGGTCTTCACAGGGGTGCCACCCCTTGCCCAAAGCCTCAAAAGACCATGCAATCCAAGCATCCAACACAGGCCATGTTGTGGGTAGTGTGCAGCTCTTGGGTATTGCACAAATCAGGAGATGGCTGTTGAGGCAGCTCTGCTTGGAAAGCAGGCTGCCCCATGACCAAGTCATCAGGCTGGCTGTCCCTGTTTTAAATTCACAGCCATCTCCATGTACAAAGACTGGCACTGTCTTGGCTGGAGCTTGAACAACACCACTTTTGGCAAGTGGTTCAGCCAGCCTTGGATCTTTCACACGCTGAACCTGATGCCAGAAGGCCTGGCAGTGCTGTGTGCAAAACAGCTTCTCAAAGGCATCGGCATAGTTGTCACTGAGCCTGGAAAAAAGAAGATGTGGCAAAAGGATGGATGCCCCTGTCTGGACTTCCTTCTGGCTCTTCAAATCAAGCATTGGCACCACAACTTCCTGGGGCTGAGGCAGCCCCATGCTTCTGCAGCACCATGCCAGAAGGTCCCTGTGGCAGTTTCCTTTGCTCTCTTGAAAGTTCCCACATTTGGCAAGGCTCATCATCTCTGAGTGTTGATCGCCTCCAAGTACATTCATGTGTGCTAGCTCACAAGCCTGAGTTGCTGATATTCTTCCCTGGCTCCAGAGCTGAAGCAGCCTTGTGCACATGGGGCTAGGCATTTCATCCTCTTTCATCTCATCCTTTTGGCAAGGATTTGCCATCTGTAATTCCTTCTCCCACCCCCTAATCCTCTTTCTTCACTTTTCTTTCACCCAACATCAATCCTTTCAGCAAGGATTTTCAAGCCTCTTGTAGCCCTTTTAGCAAGGGCTTGAAGGTCTACAGTGGCCCATAGTTCTACAGTGCCACTACTGCTGATAAGCCAGATGCAACACATGCTTTTCAATCACAAACAAAGCTATAGATGAGATGAACCTAAATGTTTACTAGGTACAGCTCTGGGCTGTAGTGCAACTGGAAACCAACCAGTTCAACACCTCAAGGCATAGTCACACCCTTCTTTGCTCAATCCCTGAAGTTGTCTGCTTGTTCTCATACACCCTTTTGGCAAGGGGTCATGAAACTGTACAGCCTCCTTTGGTCAAGGAGCTGTGAAGCTGCATCCTTTTGGCAAGGATTTTGAGTCATGAACATTCAGCCTTTTGGCAAGGAGTTGTGAAAATGAATCCTTTTTGCAAGGGTTTTGCACAGCTTCCTTTTGGCAAGGAGTTGTGAAAATGAATCCTTTTTGCAAGGGTTTTGCGCAGCTTCCTTTTGGCAAGGAGTTGTGAACATGAATCCTTTTTGCAAGGGTTTTGCACAGTTTCCTTTTGGCAAGGAGTTGTGAAATTACATCCTTTTTGCAAGGATTTTGCACAGCTTCCTTTTGGCAAGGATTAATCTTCTTTAGCCACCCTTTTGGCAAGGGTACTGCCTTTTGTCAAGGGCTTGGCATCTCATTTCTTACTGCCAGCTTTGCTGCTGCCAGCTTTGTTTGCCAGTTGCCTCAACTCTTTGGCTTCATCCTTCACACTCTTCAAAGCAGTGCCTGCATCCACCAAGCAGTATGATGTAAAATAGCTAGATAAGACAAGGGGGTCTATAACTTAAAAATAAAATTAAAAAAGTCCAAACTCACTTCAAAAGTCCAACCAAAACTCACCTCTCACCAGGCAAGTCCAAGCAAAACTCAAAAGTTCAAGGCAAAGTCCAAGCAAAACTCACAGGTTCAAAGGAAAGCTCAAGCGAAACTCAAGGAGCTAGGGAAACCAGGGAAGCGCCCGCTCAGCGAGTTTTGGGCGAGCTTTGCGCGAGCTTTTGACGAGCTTTGGTAGAAGAAAACTAGACAAAAGCTCAAGTCGAAGCTCAAAAACTGAATGCGCGCGAGCTTTTCACGAGCTTTCTGCGAGCTTAGCTCGAAATAAACTAGCACCGAACTCACCACGACGCTCACGCCACGGGAAACTACTTTTGCGCGAGCTTTAATTGGACTTTCCCTGAGTTTTGCTTGAACTTTTTAATGATCAGTTGAATTTGCTTTGGACTTTCCTGTTGACTCTTGAGCTTCCATTGGACATCAGCACAGCACAAGCGAGTTTTAAGCGAGCTTGAAAACGAGTTTTGGGCGAGCTTTAAGCGAGCTTAAGAGGCCCCTGTCTTATCTGCTATTTTACGTCATAAACCAAGCGCTGCTTGGCCTTCTCCAGGGCCATGGCCTTGTCTTTTTTGAGCAAGAGTTGCTTGAGGATCTTTTCATTGCTCTTGAGCTGCTCGATCATTGCCTCACTGTCCTTCTTGCTTTGCTTGGTGAGCCTTTTTGCTTTCTCTGCTTCTTCAATGGCATCCTGACAGTCCACCTGGACAGATGCACATTGATCCTTGGCCCTCTTGGCCTTGCCCAGCAAGGTCTTCCACTCTTCTGCTTCTGTCTTTTCCTTGGGCTTCTCTTCCTCATCTTCTTTGTCTTTGATGGCCAAGGGCCCTTTTCCTTTTCCTTTGCCTGAGCCTTTTGTCAAGGCTTTGCCTGAGCCTTTTGGCAAGGCTTTCCCCCATGTCTCTGCTTTTTGCAGATGGGACATGTTGTCCACTGCCATCATCTCATCAAACTCCTCATCATCTATTTCTTCAGCTTCATATTCCTGGCCCCTAGAGTATTCTTTGTCTCTGGACATCCTGGTGTGTTTCACTATGTCCCCC